TACTGGACCTCTAGGAAGAACAGTTTGGAACTGATAGAGCTATCCAGTATAAATAAAGTTAGTTTAGTTTAGGTTTCCTCCTGTAGTAACACTGGATCAATAAGAGATGATCCTTACTGAACCTCTAGGGAAAACAGTTTAGAACTGATAGAGCTATCCAGTATAAATAAAGTTAGTTTAGTTTAGGTTTCCTCCTATAGTAACACTGGATCAATAAGAGATGATCTTTACTGGACCTCTAGGAAGAACAGTTTAGAACTGATAGAGCTATCCAGTATAAATAAAGTTAGTTTAGTTTAGGTTTCCTCCTGTAGTAACACTGGATCAATAAGAGATGATCCTTACTGGACCTCTAGGGAGAACAGTTTAGAACTGATAGAGCTATGTATCCAGTATAAATAAAGTTAGTTTAGTTTAGGTTTCCTCCTGTAGTAACACTGGATCAATAAGAGATGATCCTTACTGGACCTCTAGGAAGAACAGTTTAGAACTGATAGAGCTATCCAGTATAAATAAAATTAGTTTAGTTTAGGTTTCCTCCTGTAGTAACACTGGATCAATAAGAGATTATCCTTACTGGACTTCTAGGGAAAACAGTTCAGAACTGATAGAGCTATCCAGTATAAATAAAATTAGTTTAGTTTAGGTTTCCTCCTGTAGTAACACTGGATCAATAAGAGATGATCCTTACTAGACCTCTAGGAAGAACAGTTTAGAACTGATAGAGCTATCCAGTATAAATAAAGTTAGTTTAGTTTAGGTTTCCTCCTGTAGTAACACTGGATCAATAAGAGATGATCCTTACTGGACCTCTAGGAGAACAGTTTAGAACTGATAGAGCTATGTATCCAGTATAAATAAAGTTAGTTTAGTTTAGGTTTCCTCCTGTAGTAACACTGGATCAATAAGAGATGATCCTTACTGGACCTCTAGGAAGAACAGTTTGGAACTGATAGAGCTATCCAGTATAAATAAAGTTAGTTTAGTTTAGGTTTCCTCCTGTAGTAACACTGGATCAATAAGAGATGATCCTTACTGGACCTCTAGGAAGAACAGTTTAGAACTGATAGAGCTATCCAGTATAAATAAAGTTAGTTTAGTTTAGGTTTCCTCCTGTAGTAACACTGGATCAATAAGAGATGATCCTTACTGGACCTCTAGGGAGAACAGTTTGGAAGTGATAGAGTTATCCAGTAAAAATTAGTTTAGTTTAGTTTATGTTTCCTGTAGTAACACTGGATCAAAAAAGGTCGATTTAGACTACACAACTTTTGCCTAAAACTGTCGCATGCAACCTGCTTACAACTTGAGTTGTACTGTGTAAATGAATATACAACTCGCAACTTGTAGGTGAGTTGTGGGCTTGATTTATAACAGCACAATTCAAGTTACCTTAACTGTCTTTGGCTCGATCGCCTACTCATGTAACCAAATTATTTTGAATTTTTTCAGGTGAGTCAAAATTCCAGCCTGTTGCCATTAAATCCGCGGGTCCTGAAGAAGACGACAAGCTCTTATCTTCGTACGACGCCTGTCCACGCTATTCCGTAGACGTTGAAGAAAATGGCCTTGGCGAATACGAAAAGTTCATTAAAGGCCAAGAAATTCAGGATGTGATTAAAGCCATTGAAAAACGGCTTCGTATCAACGGAACGCTATCTCTTACCTTCCAAGACGTGAACACCGTAAGGAAGCTTTGCGCTTTCGGAATAATGAATCACAACGATGACAGCTGGTGTGCGTTGTTGGATAGCGAAAATTTAAACGTACTAAACTACGCTAGCGATTTGGAAAAGTACTATGAGAATTCTTTCGGAAACGAACTAAGCTATAAGATAATTTGTGTCCTTCTTGGGGATATTACTGACAGCCTGGACGACTTTTCAAAAGGGACTAGCGAATTTCGTGGGGTATTTCGGTTCGCATCTTCAGGAACGTTGTTTTCGCTTTTGACAATGCTGGGTTTGTTCGATAACGGTACGGCTTTGCGCGCAGATAATTTTAAGCAGAGCAGTAATCGGAAGTTTCCGTCAACCTTCGTGCCGATGTCGGCTAATATCGCCTTGGTTTTATACACTTGTAACTCGACGGAAGTAAACGGCAAAAAACCTGATCATAAGGTACAGGAACGTGTATTCAGAATAACTTTATTTATACTGGATAGCTTTATCTGTTCTAAACTGTTCTCTCTAGAGATCCAGTAAGAATCATCTTCACTGATCCAGTGTTACCACAGGAGGAAACCTAAACTAAATTAACTTTATTTATACTGGATAGCTCTATCTGTTCTAAACTGTTCTTTCTAGAGGTCCAGTAAGGATCATCTCTTATTGATCCAGTGTTACTACAGGAGGAAACCTAAACTAAACTAACTTTATTTATACTGGATAGCTCTATCAGTTCTAAACTGTTCTTTCTAAAGGTCCAGTAAGGGTCATCTTTTATTGATCTAGTGTTACTACAGGAGGAAACCTAAACTAAACTAACTTTATTTATACTGGATAGCTCTATCAGTTCTAAACTGTTCTTCCTAGAGGTCCAGTAAGGATCATCTCTTATTGATCCAATGTTACTGCAGGAGGAAACCTAAACTAAACTAACTTTATTTATGTTGGATAGCTCTATCAGTTCTAAACTGTTCTTCCTAGAGGTCCAGTAAGGATCATCTCTTATTGAATTGATCCAGTGGTACTACAGGAGGAAACCTAAACTAACTTTATTTTATAAACTTTTAGGTTCAGATTTTGGTCAATGAGAAACCAGTGGGTCTACCGTGTTGTCAAGGAAACCTAAACTGCAGTCTTGACGATTTCCTGACGTATTTTAAAGACGCTGTAGACACTTGTGATTTCGATACAATGTGTGCCCTGTCGAGCACTCCAAAGGCGTTTGGTTCCATAATTCGCCCTGATATATTGCTAATGGAGATCATTTTGATTGTTGCATTTAAATTATCAAACTAAACAAACAATTGGAATAATCGATAAGTATATTCTTGTACATTGCAGCTTTAAACATTATCGTGTTAAAATAAAGGCTATCTATCTATCTATCTATCTATCTATCTATCTATCTATCTATCTATCTATCTGTCTATCTACATTATTTCAGCTATAGTACTAGCAAAATTAATGATAAGTAAATTGGCAAATAAAAAGGAAACTAGGAAACAATGTTTCCTGGTTTGTCCACCTTAGGGAAACATGGCTAGGAAACAATGTTTCCTGGTTTGTTCACCTTTGGGAAACATGGCTAGGAAATAATGTTTCCTGGTTTGTTCACCTTTGGGAAACATGGCTAGGAAACAATGTTTCCTGGTTTGTCCACCTTTGGGAAACATGGCTAGGAAACAATGTTCTCTTAATACTATTTTTTTCTAATGTCGAATGTTTTCGGGTTTGCCGTTGTCATAGCAGTTCATATATTTATTTCATTCAAAGACTGGTATCTGTCTTCATCTCTTTCGCGCAATTCATTTAAATCCTGATAGCTGTTTTCGTCATAATTAACATAATCTGGCATGTTTTCAACATTAACAGGCATCACGTTAACGTATGTCGCACTATGACGTATTTCCTCGTCCTCAGGTCTGCGCGATGTATGACGTAATTCCATCTCGTTAGGACCCAGTTCTTCATTCCCACTTCGCTGCTGGCGACTCTCTGGAGAAACGTCGACATGCTCTGAATTATCATTACGATCATCCCTCGTTGTACATTTTTTACCCAAGCAATTCAAAATGTACACGAATAGAATTCCAGCAACGAATGAACATGCTCCAGCAATTGACATCATTTCCCAGCCTACTTCGCGCTTATCTTTCTGTTGAACACGGAAACTTTCATTGAACCTCAAGGAACACTTGTCGGAACTCCCTCCATTTTTTGCCAAACATTCGTACTGTCCCAGACAGGAAATCTTTCTGATGTCTACAGTGTACTTGTTTCCATATTTTACTGCTGTTCCATTGCGTGAAATCGTGAAATTAGGTTCTGGAAAGCTT